AAGCGTCGTCTTTTAAAACACGCTAAAAAAAGGCCACTTAAGTGAATTCGCGCTCGACAAATTTTCAGATTTTCCCCCGTCTCTGAAAACTTTATCTCTCCCTCCTTGAAACCTCCTGAGCTCCTATCTTCTTGAAACCCTCCTGAGCTATCTGAAACACTCCATCTCTCACCTTTCTACTCCTCATACGTACCTACCAGCCATCGACGCCATCGAAGCAGCGACGCCGTCAACGCCATCGACGCAGCGACGCCATCAACGCCATCGTTCTTCGCATCAGTCATCACTAGCCGCCATCGACGCCATATTCACAGTCAACGACGACGATGTCCTTGAAAACATATCTAGAGACCTTGCGAGATGGGAAAATCCTAGAACATCAGATCTGGTCTTCGATGTCGCCTGAGGTTCGATGACAAATCTCCATCACGCCTTCTTGGTAAGCTCTCGCCATCCACGTCATAAGATGACAACTTAGAAGAATATAAGATCCATTTGACCAAGATGACTTAGAACACTACTCCAAGATGACAGCTGAATGTGGAGAACAAGTACAAATTGTGGAAGATACAACAACCATAGGTTAATGCTTTGGATATGGTATTTTGTAATTATAGGTTATAATTTTATAAATATGGTATTTTGTATGGATATAGTAGGAATCAAGATTGGTAAACAATGTAATTACAATTGAATCTTCAAGTTTTATGAAAGAAATAATTTTTAGGATATCTAAAATGAAATTAGTACATCATTTTTACAGATAATAAACGGCGATTTTTTGGAACAAAACCGTCTTTTTTAGATTTAATAGACGTCTTTGGATATAATAAACGACGGTTTTTTCAGAAAAAGTGTCATCTTTACATTTAAATAGACGACGGTTTTTTCAGAAAAAGTGTCGTCTTTACATTAAATAGACGACGGTTTTTTCAGAAAAAGTGTCGTTTTTACATTTAAATAGACGACGGTTTTTTCAGAAAAAGTGTCGTCTTTAAATTAAATAGACGACGGTTTTTTCATAAAAAGTGTCGTCTTTATATTTAATAGACGACGGTTCTATAAAAAAAAGTGTCATCTTTACATTCAATAACGACGGTTTTTTCAGAAAAAGTATCGTCTTTACATGTAATAGACGACGGTTCTTTTAAAAACCGTCGTTTTTATATATAATAGACGACGGTGAATTACCGTCGTAGTTTGACTTTCAAAAAGATGACTGTCGATTTAACGACGGTTTGAAAGAAAAAAAAGACGACGGCGTTTCCCCGTCGTCTATTTCAATTTTTGTAGTAGTGTTCTATGTGCAATGAGAGATGTCCAATTTGGTTCTGTTATGTTGGTCCTAGAAGACTTGAAACTGCAGCTGAAATGGTTCAAGCCGATTCGGTCCAGATTTAGTCAAATTAACGGAAGAATGAAAAAATAAAAATAAAAACAAACCAAACCAAAAAAGTAGGTTGGGCCTAATTCGATCACGTGCCTAGCACTAGTGACATGTTTTAATTGCTAGGGAGAAATGTAAGAGTTTTCGGGCTCGATCATTAGCATATGGCCCGTGATATATTAATGAGAATGATAATATTGGGCTAGTAACTTCATAAATGGTGGACCCAATATCTATTATATAGTGGATGCTTAATTATTGAGCTTGACATGATTCCTACTTATGTCTGGAGCAAGGGCTTTCCTTGATGGGTGAGAAACCTAATTATACGTTGGTATATAAGTAAGGTTCCTTCACTAGCAGCCTTACCGTTTTATGCTCCCCATTGTAGCCGTGCAAATACTAAATTGTAAGGAAGACTTTGCTGGTGTAGTATCAGGTTATTCAAGGACGGAGAGAGAGAGAGAGAGAGTAACAATTAAGGGTGTAAAGGAGATAGAAGAAGCCTCGTCTTCCAAGGAGAAGTTATAATTAGGGCTCCAAGGAGAAGTTCTGAAAACATATATGTGTATATACACACACATATCAACTGAGAGGGATACTTAGGGATTTGAAATATCCAAAATCCTAAAACAATCCATAACCCTAAATAACAACTACCACCACCAACTGAAAAAGCCCCGTGAAACCAACCACACCTAACCTTTAAGTAAATACAAAACATGTGACATATTTGAGGAAAACATAATTTCCATCTGAACTGCACATAACATTGAACATATATGCCAATTGAACAATCATGGCAAAAAAAATTGGGTAGATTGCAATAGACTCCTTAAAATGCGAGGTAGAAATAAATTTAGAGAAGATGAAAAGTTTTTGAGTGAGGATTTTGGGAGAAGTAATTGATTAAGGAATTAGCCTAAAGAGGTGATGGGGAACTTTGATATGACTCAAAACAAATCACGACAAGTAATTAATTGATTAAGGAATTAGCCCAAAGAGGTGATGGGGAACTTTGATATGACTCAAAACAAATCATGATTTTGATATTACTCAAAACAAATCACGACAAATGGTTAATTTTGTATTCAAATGCGAAGCT